ATTCGCGGGCTCTGTCTTACTGTAGGGTCGCATGCCAACTGCGTGGCGACTCAGCGATACGTAGGCATTTTTCTCATTTTGTTGAAAAATTAAAAATCAAGGCCTAAGCTTTTTTTTTTGAATTAAATTGAATAGAAATTTTTATTCGTATCATGTTGAATATAATATTGACAGAATTTGATCGAAAGTTATTACTTAAAAGTGCTCTGGAAACATGATGCGCGCTCCTTCGGCTTAAGCGCGGCTTACTGTCAGATTTTAAAGACGCAATATGAAATTTGTAAAAGTCCGTGTGAAATGGAGCGTAGAAGCCGAGAAAAAAAATTGAACGTACAAAAAAATTTCCTATGAGTGGTTACGGCGATTTTTCGCACAATTTTCGAGTTCGTGGTAAATTCGCTCTAGCGTACACAAGGAGCTACAGTAATTTGCAATTTCCGTTTCTCGCATGAATTGCAATAAAAATAACGGAAAATTTCGCTTAGTACGTGCACATACGGCGTTCATTTGAGAAAGTGCGCTCTAATGCTAAATTTCACGTTTTCCGATCTTTCCGGGAGCTGTATTTTCAGTATTTTGAGGGAGATAATGCAAAACGAGACAAAAAATCCTTTTTTTTTCTCCAAAAACGAAAAAAAAACAATATTTTAAGTTGGACATTTTCTTGTCTTTTAGTACGAAATTTTGTTGAAATTTGGTGGAAAAAAAATCAATTTCGCGTGGTCAAAAAGCCGACATTTTGGAGAAATTATGAAAAAGCGCCAAATTGACCATGTTCAATGGAGCGCACTTGCTTTTCTAGCTTCAAGACCACGTGGCTAAGTATCGGCGAACTCCTTTTACGAGAACCGTAATTTCTATTCAATTTGATTCAAAAAAAGCTTAGGCCCTGATTTTCAATTTTTCAACAAAATGAGAAAAATGCCTACGTATCGCTGAGTCGCCACGCAGTTGGCATGCGACCCTACAGTAAGACTGAGCCCGCGAATGAAACCTTTTGAAAACACGTAGAAAAAATTTACTGTGCTTACCGTCAGACATGGAATCCAAGCCACGGTCAGCGCGATGGCCACTGCTGACGTCCTCAATACCGCCATTTGATTCATGTATGGTCTGGCATAAAACCGGGTGAAAATATACGTCGTCGTGACGAAGACCTTCATCGCCAATTTTATCATGAACCGTTGTGACTCAGAATATCCCAAGGCGGTGAGCTCGGTATCGGTGGTGACGAGATTGCCGACTCCCATCAAGCTGAGGAAAAAGGCCATGGCTTGCTTTATCGATTTTTTTCGAAATGAAATATATACGTGGAAAAAATGACATGGGAAAATTTTAAGGATTTTTCACGTTAGAAAAACAAAAAAACATGAGCTTTTAATGTCAGAAATTACGCCACACGGAATTCAAATGATGGCGTAAAAAAATTGTACAATAGAACGTTTTTGCTGATGCGGCCTGGAAGGCAATCAGTGTAGAAGCAATTGCTGGCCGAAGAACCGACAACTCGACGGCCGCGATATCTCACCACGGAAACTAGTGTATAAATTTAATTGCTACCGTAAGATTTATCGAATTTCATCGATTTCCATCGATTTTCAGTGATTTTTCTAGATTTTCCTCGGGAAAAAATGAATATTCGTTGAAAATGAATTGAAATTTATGAAAATCGATAAATCTTACGGTAGCAATCAAATTTATACGGTAGTTTTCGTGGCGAGATATCAAGGCCGTCAAGTTGTCGGATCTTCGGCCAACACTTGCTGTTACACTGATTTGCGTTGATATTTCCGCCGATTTTCAACGATTTTGCATATTTTTTCGAGCAAAAAAAAAAACAAAGTTCGTCGAGAATCGATAAAAATCGATAAATGAAATTTTCTTACGGTAGAAATTAAATTTATACGGTAGTTTTCGTGGTGAGATATCGCGGCCGTCGAGTTGTCGAAATTCGGCCAGCACTTGCTTTTACACTGATCGCCATAATATTTCCATCGATTTTTAACAATTTTTCGAGTTTTTTATCGGAAAAAAAATTAAATTCGTTAGAAATCGATAAAAATCGATAAATGAACTTTTCTTGCGGTAGTTTTCGTGGTGAGATATCGGGGCCGTCAACTTGTCGGATCTTCGACCAGCACTTGTTTTTAGACTGTTTGCTATAATATTTCTATCGATTTTCAACGATTTTTCAGGTTTTTTTACACGGCCACCTAGTCCTCAACCCAAAACGCCACCGTAAAAAATCAATAATCCGAATATTTTCATTTTCAAAGACAAAAATCGAGTTAATCATCACTTCTTTTCCTCCTTCCCCTTCCCAGCAAAATGATTTTCGGCCGAATTGAAAGCCATCACCATTGGCACCGCCTTCAATTGATTTTTCAACGGATCCATCGACAATTCACTCGGACGACGTTCCAATGGAGCCGGCTCATCGATCGATTCTGTCGAGAATGTCTTCTTGTTGGCGAGGGCGGCTAGCTCTTCTGGAGTTTTCTGGAAAAAAATTTATTGGCGATGGGGCGTGCTTGCATAGCTTAGTGCAGTTGCGCTCAATTGACAACAAAGAAAAGCGCTCCATTGGATCCGGTGTGTCTAAAGAGCGCTCCACTGAAATTGCGCGGCGATTCAAAATTTCCGGAATTCTTCGCGATGCAAACACGCTCCAACGTTGAATCCCGTAGTATTGACGTAAAATTGAGCAAGCGCGCTCTGCTGCGTTATTTTGAGCAAATGCGCTCCGTTGCAAATTTCTCTTCGGAGGCAATTCAAAATTTCTACAATTATTGATGGAATTTCGGGTTTTTTTCCGACGCAAAACAGACAAAAAAGCATAAAATAATCATTTTCGACAATATTTCATAGGAAAAAACTCAAAAAAGTGATTTTTCGGAAAAAAATTTTTTTTTTTAGTTTTTTTCCAAAAAATATTGTTAAAATGATTTTTTTTGCGAAAATAAAAAAAAATCGATGAAGAACTTTTTTGTAATATTAAGCTACGTATCGCTTCATCATATGCGGCGCAGCGAATTTGAACCGCCGCGCAATTTCAGTGGAGCGCACTTGCTTCAAATAGACAGCCAGTGCGCTCTATTAAACCTGGGAAATACAAGAAACCTTTGCGGATGTTACAGAAAAATCGATAATTTTCGCTTCCCGCCAAAAGTACAGAAATTGGCTGTGGGGCGAGTTTGCATTGCTTCCTGGTGTAACTGCGCTCTATCGGACCTGGGAAACACAAGAAACCTTTTCGGACGCTACAAAAAATCGATAGTTATCGATTGATCTACGCTTGGCGCCAAATTTTCAATTTACACAATTTACACCTGCAGAAGTTGTCATTGGAGCGCGTTCGCATTCCTCCCTGAGAGCAACGTCAATGCAACTGCGCTCCACCGAACTACCTTTTTAAGCATCTTGGCCTTCTCCGCCTCCGTCCGTCCACCACTTCCAGTGGTGGCACTCTTCTGATCCGACGACGATTTGTTCTGCATATTGTCTTCTTTCGCGATGCCCGAGAGGATTTTATCCATGTAAATCGTCGCACTTCCACCACAAAAACAAACCAAAAGGAATGAATTTTTTGAGCGGGAAATTTGAAAAAAAATATTTTTTTAAAACCCCCGTGACCTTCCCCCAAACTCTCAAAACAAGGGGAACACGTACCCCCTTCTCCACGAGGACTCCACGTGGAAAAATAACAAAATCAATAAATTCCGAGTGTTTCCGATCAGTTCCTTTTATTTTGGTTGATATCGTGTTGGACACTTACCCGCGACACGTGGCACTTGAACGATCTGGTGAGTCTGCGTCTCTCCCTTTCCATATAAGGGGAAAGGGGGTCGCCTGGTGGCGCCGGCTGCATGGCGCAGTGGGTTACGCTTTTGTCTATTAGCCAGACGGGACCCTTGGGTTCGAACCCCAGGTAGTGATTTTTCTTTTGTTTTTTTTTCTAGCATGTCTCATGCATTAAGGAAGTGCGCTCTAATGCCAAAATGTGGTTTTTCCGGGGGAAACTTAAATTTTTAGTGCAAAAAAGAGTTATTTACGTTCAAATTTTCATATTTAGTTCTGAAACCGAAAATCACTTTCTTTGAGTCTATTTTTTTTGTTCAAGCCCAAATTTGTTGGAAAAAATAATGTGAATATTCTGAATTTTCGAAAGAATTGTCGAAAACCGACGGAAAATGCTGAGCTACGGCAAGTACTCAAGTGCTATGGGGTGATCTTGTGCTATTTGCCAATTTTTCGAAATTGGCTCTTGTGCTATGGATCAAGTGCTATTTTTGTCATGATTCATGTGCGTCAAAGCTCCAGGGCCAAGAAAATATCGAAATAGCACTTGATCCATAGCAAAGGAGCTGAAATAGCACATAAGACAGTAGCACTTGATCATCCCAATAGCAATTGATCATCCTAATAGCACTTGCTCCTCCCAATAACGCTTGATTATCCCAATAGCAATTGAACATTCAAATAGAAATTGAGTATCCACCTTAGCTTTAAGTAGAAACTCAATTGCTATCGGGATGATCAAGTGCTATTGGGATGATCAAGTGCTATTAGGATGATCAAGTGCTACTAGGATGATCAAGTGCTTTCGGGATGATCAAGTGCTATGGGGGTGACCAAGTGCTATTGGGATGGTCAAGTGCTTTCGGGATGATCAAGTGCTATGGGGGTGACCAAGTGCTATTGGGATGGTCAAGTGCTATGGGGGTGCCCAAGTGCTTCCGGGATGATCGAGTGCTATTGGAATGATCAACTGCTATTGGGATGATCAAGTGCTATTTCAGCTCTTGTGCTATGGGTAAAGTGCTATACGCTAAGTATCGCAGCATAATGGGCCGGTATTTTCGCGGAATTAATGAAATTTTTGAATGCCCGCCAAATCAGTTCAATGGAGCGCACTTGCAATTTTTTTTTTCAAATGTTCTGCGAAAGTCTGCGTCTCTCCCCTCCCATATAAGGGCAAAGAGAGTCGTCTGCTTGCGCCGGCTGTATGGTGCAGTCGGTTGCGCTTTTGGCTATTAACCAGATGGGACCCCTGGGTTCGAACCCCCGCTAGTGGTTTTCGTTTTGTTTTTTTTTCTAGTACGCCTCATGGATTAAGCAATTGCGCTCTAATGCAAAAATATGGTTTTTCATTTTCAATGGAGCGCACTTGCATTTTTTTTTCAAATTTTTTTGAATTCAAAAAATTTTCAGAAAATGGGCAAAATAGAGACATGGGAAGTGGCTGGCCGTACTGACGAGTCGATCACGTTTCTGTACAAACGACGTACCTATAATGAGGAGAAGTTGGAGAAGAATTCGAAGAAGAAGCCGAGAAATGATGATGATGGATTTGATGAGGAGACACGGGCGGTTCTTCGGAAATTGGATGATTTGAATATGCAAATCCGGAAAAGATATCATTTTGGTTCGGTGGAGGATACGGTGGAGAAGGTAGAGGAGAAGGAGAGGGATAAGAAGCAGAAAAAGAAGAAGGTTTCGAAAACTAAGGCCAAAAAGTCTGAAGATTTGAAGTCGGTGATGGATGAGAAAGATTCTTTGGAAGAGAAATTTGACGATAGTCATGTCCTTGTGAATGGTGTGCTAGTGAAGAAGGGAACTGGATCGGAGCCGGTGGATCATCGTGGAGTGTGAGTGTTGTGGACAGGGGCAAATACTCAACTGCTATGGGGGTGATCAACTACTATATATATATTTGGCTCTTCTGCTATGGATCAACTGCTATTTTCGCCACTTTTGATGTCTCAACTGCTATATGTTGCTCCATAGCAGAAGAACAACATATAGCAGTAGCAGTTGAGCATCTATCGGGACAGGGGTGAGCGAAAAACAGTTTTCCGGAACTTCGGAATTCGGAATTTTCGGATAAAAATATAGTTTTTCGAAGTTTTGGGGGCGAAAAAAACCGAAAAAAAAAATTTTTTTTTCGAAGAATTTTTTCGAAGAATTTTTTTCGATATTTTTTCCTCAAATCTTCGAATTTTTTGATGAAAAACGGATGAAAAAGCAGCGAAAAACAAAGAAATTTCTAAAAAATTCAAATTTCTAAAAAAAAAAGTTTGTCCACGCAGACTACACGAGCGGAGTTTTCTAGGCCAGAATTTTGCGCGCATTTTTGAAAAAATCCCTCTCTTTATACCTTTTTTCGGTTTTTGCTCTGATTTTTCGGTGAATTTTCGGCGAAAAGTAGTTTTTTTTTGATGTTCAAAAGGTGAAAACGTTTTGGCAAAAAAAAATTCCGGAAAAAAATTGGCGAAAAAATTTTTTCTAGGAGAATGATCGAAAAAACCATACTTGCAAACGGGGCCGAAACGGGCCGTTTGCAGGAATGGAAAAATCACCCCTTTCCG